GACAATCAGGGGCTGCTACCCGGGCTGCTTTAGACCGTATGGGGGGGGGGGAAGATCAGTGGCCTGAGATACGTCAGTTCTTGGTGACCAGGGACTTTTATTTTAACCCGGGCCTACCCAAAACACCCCCAAATTATGTTCCAGATGTCAAACGCTTTTGAAGCAATTTTTTGTTAATATATTATTATAAAATTTTATTTTTATAAAATATAAATTATTTATTTCTATATATATTTTATTAACTAAAAGCTAAAAATGTTTTGTTATTATTGATATTTATTACGACAAAATTATTTTAAAATGCTACTATTATTAAAAGTATTTTTTGATATTACTTGTGAATAATTTGTCTGTATTTTACTGATATATTGAAAAATCCAAACTTATTTATATAATTTATACAATTGGTACAAACGACAAAATATTTGTCGGAATAATAAATTATTATACATTTGAATACCGGTACTGTTATCAGTAATAATATCTTTAAAATCAATTTGAGACTTTTTTCGCATTTACGTTATATATTTTTTTAATTGGTTACAAGTTATTGTAAACTTAAAACTTAAAAGTTTTATTAATAAATTAAATTACTATAACATTACATAATAATAATATTAAAAAATTTGTTTAAATAACTTGAGTTTTACAACAATAATTGTAAGTTTAAATTTCAAGTTTAACTCTAACGTTATGTAAAAGTAGTTAAATTTTGTTTGTTTTTAAATTCACACCATAAATGTAAGCCATATATGTAGTCACAACATACCAGCCCTAATACAGTACCGCACAGTACTGTGAATAGTTTGAGTGTCGGAAACAACACATTTTAAAGTGTAAATTAAACATTTAATAATATTTTAAGTGTATGTTAATTGTTAGCAGGGTTTTATAACAACTATGGATAAGCCTGAAGTGCGGATTAGATTTATGCAAAACATGGACCAATTTCTATCACGGGTCACGTTGAGTCCATTGTTTATGACACTATTGGAAAACCATACCTGTGCTCATAACTTAATTAAGACGTTTCAAGTATACTATTTTAATTATATTTATTATAAATGTAAAAAAGTTAAAAATTGTTTTAATTAAATGTCTTGACTCTGATATGTATTAATTGCTTAAGCAAAATTAATATGTCAAATAGTAGTTCAGAGTTAAAACATTAAGTCACAACATACTGTACCTATGAATGATTTTAACATAAGTATCAATAGTATTTAATACTGTAGGTCAGATTAATTTGAAACAAGGTGCCCATAATAGTGTAATAGTTTGACTAATAATCATTTTTAATAGATAATTATATTATTAACTTGTTGTTTATGTTAAGAATCAAACTATTTAAGGCACCTTGCTTCAAATAAAACTGCGTTTTTACAGTGCATGCTAAAATTAAATTTAAAACACGTGATTCATAGGGGATTACCGATATAGCCGCGAAAAAGGTGTTCATATTTACTGAATTCAACCGGGATCGTAATGCGTGCAATGAACTTGTTGACTTTCTCAAAAGGTCGGGCCAATACCACGCCGCCCGTGAACTGGAGCTCTACAATCAGTGGACTGAACCCCTCGTATACTCACAGGATGTTAGACTAATCGTTAAGAAGGCCCACACCTTATAGACTTTTGACCATTGTAACGATAGGTAAGGTTAGGTTAGGTCAAGGGGAACATTTTACACTGGTCATCAGGTATATTTACCTACTGGTCATTAAGTTATTTTAGTTTAGGTCAATTGGTTTTTAGGTCAATAGACCCGCACCGATTTGTATCAATATTGATTCAATACTATAAGCCAGTTCAATTTAAAACAAGGTGCCCGTAATAGTTTGTCTCTAGTAATCATATTATAACTTATTTTTAATAGATATGTATACAGTATTACTCACTTGTTGTATACTAGTATGATCAGGGTCAAATTATTACTGTAAGGGCACTTGCTTCAAATTGATCTGGGCTTATATCAGATGCTAAAATTATGATGAACTTAAAACACGTGATTCATAGGGGATTACCGATATAACCGGGAAAAAGGTGTTCATATTTACTGAATTTAACCGGGATCGTAATGCGTGCAAAGAGCTGGTTGACTTTCTGAGAAGGTCCGACCAACCTGACGCCGCCCGGGAGCTGGAGCTCTACAATCAGTCGACTGCACCTCTCGTATACTCACAGGATGTTAGGCTAACCGTTAAGAAGGCCCACACCTTCCGGTCGGGCGAAACCCGATGGTTCGTTATGGACGGCGCCCCCAGAGGTCGGGTGTTATTGTTTTTGCAGGTGCCTGAATTGCAAAATGAGGCAGATCGTTTTGATGACCTCTTCCAAAAGCTATACTTCTCGGTCGATGTCTATAAAAATTATTCGTGCGATGAGATTGTGGACACTCTTAAGACTGCCTCCAAAGGGGAGTTCAAAAAGGATGCGCTGATTGTGATGTTCATAGGCCATGGCCGCGATCAGATGGTCCAGGGTAATGGTCCCAGCGATGAAATACACATCAAAAAGCTGGTCGACCTGTTTTCTGAGAATAAATGCCATGTGACTCTTAAACCGAAGCCCAAAATCTTTGTGTTTAATTGTTGTAGATATTGTGAGTGTAACCTTGCTTACTTGTCAGTTAATTACTGTCAAATATAAATATGGGACAATTCAATTAGTGCGTAAGCAATCGTGGCTATTAATTATAGTTCACTTTCTCGTAATCCTTTCATATATTAAGATAGTATTGAAAAAGTGAACTTTCGTAGCTTACCCTTATCAAATGCATAGGTACTAATTGGACTAAACTTACTTATATTTATGAGAAAACATATTACCTTGCTGTTGTTGCGTAGACACGGGTGTCAATCCGCAGGAACCAGTGGTGGATAGGGAGTGGATGGACGGCACCACTCGCACCTTCATATGCTATGCCTGTGCCGATGGTAATCTAATCATGGTTCATTTGAAACTATTATTAAATATTTGATTTTGCGGTTTATCATTTATAAAACATGATTAGGTACTGAGGCCTTTTATACCGGCAATGGATATACATTATATGGACAGGCATTCAGTCACTGTATCGCTGAATACGCGCACGACTTGAGTTTGACACAAATATTTAACAAGGTGTGTTTGAAAAATTTATATATTAGTTATAACTATTTAATTAACCGTATTTATTATTATATAGACGTGCGATGAGATGAACAGGGCAATTATCCAACAGCGCCCGGAGCTGATTATGAAAAACGTGGACAGGGAGATGTATTTTAACCCCGGTCTCTATAAAGACAAATAATTGCTTTACCAGTGTTGATAAAAATATAAATAATTGATATTAAAACATAAGAGATAGTAATAAAAATAAATAAACATTAAATTTGTTGGAATTAAAAAAGTGTTTATAATATAATAATGATTATTTTAATTGAAGTCATTTGCCCGAATATACTGTCATAATAACATATACCACACAAATTAACTACAGTATAATCCCTCTATTTTGGTTATGTTAAGTATATTTAGATTTGGTTAGGTTAGGTTAGTCTAGTGAATTTTGATTAAAGGTAATTATTTTTATATCACATGAATTTCGGGCAAACTTTATGGTAAGTGCTTTTAGCCAAATAACTGAATATCATTATTTTAAATGTTTAAAAGTTCACTTAAATATACTTTGTATTAGTAAATTATAAATTAATAGTATATTTATATAAAATTACACCTGAACTTAAATACTGTATTTGTTACAGAAATTTATCAATAAATTATAATATCTAATAGTTTATAATTTTTAAAGAATATTCTTCGCATACAAGTTAGTGTCTACATGTCTAATAACATTAATAAAAATTTTAATACTATTGTAAACCTATGAATTTATATGAAACACAGTTTATTTATTATCACAATTATCAGTAAATTATATGAAATAGCCGTTGTATTATAAAATATGACACTAATATTATATCACTACATTCAAAGATAATTGTATAATACGTAAATGTTAATATTCATTTATAAAGGTTAATCAATTAATATTTATATCTACTCAAACAAATCCCACATATTAATAAGCACAACTCAAAAAATATAACGGTTTTCCAATATGATTAAAATGCCTTTCAATATTCTAACGTTTATTTTGCAAAATTAAAACCGTATTTATGAAATATAACTGTCTCATTATGATAAAATACAACTAAAAAAATGATAATATAATTTATCTTAATATAATCTTTAACCCTTTATATGACTCCTATTATATCAATTGGACGGTATGTATAAGAATATCTGATCATAAAAGCCCACATAATATGGATATTTATAACGTATAAAACACAATACGTAAGGCGTTGGCCTAAAAGTTTGAACATTTTACTTGTAATAAGCGAGTGTCGCGACTTTCATTATTAAACTTGCTAAACAAATTTTTGTATTAATATTTAAAAATTGTTCTAACTTGTACACCACAATGGATAAGCCTGAAGTGAAAGTAAAATTCATGCAAAACATCAACAAATTCATACGACTCGTCACATTGAGTCCAATGTTTATGAAGCTATTAGAGAGTCATACGCGGGCTCATGATTTTAT